CCACCATTACAGTGTTAAATTAGCTCCTATTTCACTCTATATTTGATTTTATCTGTGGGATTTATATTTTCTTATTCTATCAAGTTTCTATTTAGCACTCTTTATATTTTCCTTGAAGAACTCCCTTAAGCAGGTAGGACAAACACCCTCTGTTTTTGTCTGGGAAAGATTTTATCACCCATTCATTTTTAAAGGATAGCTTTTCAAGATACACTACTTTTCAGTTATTTCACTGCTTTAATCATATGAATCCTGGCTTCCGAGGAGGTTTCTGTTAAGAAATCCACTAATAGTTTTTACAAAGGTCCATTGTATTTTGGAAGTTTAATTGTAATGCATTTCATTGTAGACACCTTTTTATTCAACCATTTTGGACTCTTCTGGGTGTCTTGTCTTCTATTTCTCTTGAGTCTGAATGTCTACTTTCAAGGTTTGGAAAGTTTCAGTTATTTCTTTAAAAGCCTGCTGCCCTTTTATATCTCCTTCTTTACCTTTTATAATGCATGTATTGGTTATTTGTACTGTCCCATTAATACTATATACTTTTCATTTTTCCCTCGAACTAAATAACCTATTTTTGAATTCAATAGTTTTTTCTTCTGTTGAAGTCTGATCTTGAAGCTCTCTATTGCATTTTTTAGTTCATTGTATTCTTCAGCTTGAGAATTTGTTGTACTTTATTCTCTTTGTTGGGTGTCTCAACATTTTGTTCATGGTTTGTTTTCCTGGTTTTGTTAAATAGTCTGTTATCTTACTGAGCTTCGCTAGAATAATTATTTTGAATTTTTACCAGGTAATTCATGTTTCACTTTCTTCCATTTGTTTAAGGTAAGTTAAAATGTATTGTATACTTTTGATGGTATCGTGTTTCCCTGTACTTGTGCATTGGAGTCATCAATTTGGAGAAATCAAATTTAACAGAATATCTTTGGAGGAGCATGAACATGCCATGGCACTGGGACTAGTGGTACATGTAGAACCAAATGAAGGGGCATGCCACAACTTCAGATCTGCAGGAGGGTAGGAGAAGTGGCACAATAGCTCAGGCAGCTGAGGTCTAAAACACTGACCATAGTGTGGTCCTCAGCAGTGAATACTGTGGGATTCTGTGGTATCCACAGGGGTTGTAGGGGTCCTTGGGGCTTTTRAGGCCAATGATGAGTACACCCACACAGGGAAATGACAGAGCTGATGATGTGAGTACATATGTTTGCAAAAGCTAGAGCCAGTAGTGGAGCAGTATAGTGGTACAAACCAGCAGTGTATCAACAGCAAGTACATATGCTATTGAGGGCTGGAAGAAGGCAAGCATACAGTGATACAAACCAGCAGTGCTTGTATATACTATGGCAAAAGCCAAGGCCAACTGAGTGCATACCTTCAGTAACAAGAACTGGTCACAGGCATATAAGGTAGTTAAAATTGGTATGGGTAATGGGGTCAGGGCCAGTTGTATGTAGTAACTGTACTGGAAACCAGTGTCAGTATGTCCACAGTGACACTGGCTGAAGTATCTCCTATTGGGGTAGGTAGTAGCTGAGGCACCTGGATCCATGAAGGCAAAAACCAYAGTCTATCATAAACAAAAGTCATGGATGATCCAAGGCAATTGAGAAGGCTTTTGAGGTCCTCTGAGTCAAAGGCTACTGGGGTCCTCTCAAAGGTAGGCCACCTTGGAATGTCATATGTCCATATGACACAGAAATTCAACTTCTAGGTATGTACTCACAAGAAATGAAACAGTATGTCCACACAAAAATTGAATATTCATAGCAACATTTCAAAATGAGCCCAAAGTGAAAATTACCCAAATGTCTTATCAACTGAATAGATAAACAAAACATGATATATTCATACAATGAATTATTTACTAATAAAAAGGGATTAAATAATGAAACATGTTATATTTTGTATGAACCCTGAAAACATCTTAAGTGAAAGAATGTACACACAATAGGTCACATATTATATGCTTCCATTTATAGGAAATGTCCATAATAGGTAGAGAGACAGAAAGCAGATTAGTGTTTTCCAAGAGTTGAGGGGAGAGGGTAATGGAAAGTAATTGCTAATTGTTAAAGGATTTTTTTKGGGGGGGATGATATTTTGTAATTAGCTAGTAGTTATGTTTGCATAATTCTGGGAAATAGCAAAAACTACTTAATTATATACTTTGAGAGCTAATTATATCTTAATAAAGCTATTATTAGCAAGTAAACACAATGATCCTCCTCTACTTGCTCCTGGTTTTTAATCAGGAGCTTAATCTTTGAAATCAAATCACAACTACGCTGCCTAGGACCTTCCTGATCATACACATTAATCAATTGTACAATTATATAAATGTTAGACTGCTAAAAATATTATTTTAAATTAATTACTTCAATGCTTTATATGTGACAAAACTGAGTTTCTAGAAGGATAAATGATTTTAGGGTACCATAACTATTAGTAAAACCAGGAAAGATTCTCCCAATGGTATGTCATTATTTCTTGGCTAAATTAAATATTTTCTTTCCTAAAATTCCTTTTCTATTTAAAGAAGAAGATATATCAAAGGAAGAAAAAAATCTTACTTATATTTCATAGTAAGCCCAATGATTATTATCACATTTATGGGAAATAAAGGATAGGAATAAACAATTGCACCTTCCTGCTTCTATGAATAAGAAAATACAACTATTAGTACTTAAAGGTTTTACTATTTTAAAACACTACAATACAATAAGTGAGAGTAATAGAACAACAAAGACCAATCCTTCCATTAGGAAATGGAAAATAATCAGATGCAGCAAAGATGCTGTATAACTAAGAATATGCTCTCATTCTTTATAGATATGCCAAATTTAATCCATAGGAAAATGGTCATCAGTTTCTAAATTTTCTTTTTTGAGTTCTACTTTTTGTGGCCCTTCTCTTAGCTAATAGCAGACATAGGCACAATAAGTAATTTTCATGTTACTTATTCAGAAGATTTTCTGTGATAGTATATAATATTGTCTTTGATATATAAATTTGTTATTTTCATTAAACAGCAACTTTTAAAACTGAAGAATTTTTCATCTTCTCCCAGAAAAAAACACTAATTTCCACTGAGGATATGCTTTTCTAAAAAGAGCATTCATTATTCAATGCTAAAATTCAAAAGCTTGTTGTGCAAAACATTATTTAACCTACAGCCAGAGGGTAACTCAGTATTTGTGTAGTGTTAGCATTTCATCAGTTGGTGTCCACATGTACCAGATAATATAGCACTTGGGGTGGAGCAATGGGGAGCTGGGGAAACAGGGAGTAGTGGCTGTAACAACATTGTTATATGCTCAATTTAGGTTAGGAAATTCTGGGTTAATTCAATAAATATTTAAGAAGCATCAATTATGAGGAAGACTTTCTACTAGATACTGTAAAAGGTTTATCCAGAATTTCTTAAAGTCTCCCACATGGTAGTTTTCAGTATGATTATGAAGACCCTAGGACCTAACTTGGCTGACAGCCCCAGTTTATAAGTGCTGCGCCCACACATTAATAACATCCCTTTTCATTCCTGCCATTCTACGTAGGACTCTATATGACACATACACATGCACCCACATGTGTGTGTTAAACCAACTTTCATAAAACTTACATGACCAATAAAAAAATTATATCTACATTCCTATAAACATCTCTTAGAACCATCGTCCTGGTCCACAGAACATGGTTTAACAGCCATACCATTCCCTTTATTTGACAGCTGAGGAAACTAAGGACTAGAGAATTAAAGAGATTCAACTAGAAAATGGCAGAGATGGGAGAAAGCCTAGGACTCCAGCTCATATTGCCATGTCCTTTTCGATATATCACAGATTGCTATACTAAAACATTCTTAACCTGAAGTTAAAAGTTCTATTGTTAGATAACACATGTATATTGTTTCCTAACACAAAGTTATCCAATTTCCCATTTTAATTTCAGTAGACTGCAAGTCATTTCTTTTTCTCTTTAAATCACAACTGTAGACTTAACCAATGATACAGTCAATGAGAAAATATCTTGTAGTCAACTCTTCAAGCTTGTAAATAAATTTTACTTATTTCAAACACTTTGTTTTCCCCTCATTCACTCTCTGGTGAATTTGGCATCTGACTTTTGTTTCATATCTTCAAAGTGTCACTGTATTCATAGATTATGTGTTGGATGGGAAATGAGGAGCTCATTTTATTATTCAACCAATAAGATTTTGAGTGTCTACTAAAAAGCACTCTGCCATATTATTTTATTCCCTATGGTTTCAAGTGTCCATTAAAGTGAGGCTACTTCAAAATACCAAAGAGTTTAACTTAAAAGTCCCTTATTTTTACTGAGTTTCTACATACTTGATGATATAGGCTATTTTCTGATTCTACTTGCATCAAAAGGCATGGCCCTAGAAGAAAACTGTGCAAAGCATTCTAAAAAATTAGTTATTCACGGTTTATACATGGCCGCTGCTATGTCTAACTCTTACTTACACATTTTAGGTATCTTATAAAGTAGTTTTTCTAAAGACGAACTAAAGAAAAGAGGAAGTAAATGATTATATAAGCTTTCTACCATCATGTATAACTAAAAAGAACAAATAAAAAACGAATTTTAAAAAAGCTATTTCTTATGAGCTAAGAAATATAGCTAGAAGAAAAGCAGAAACTATCAGTTAAAACAGGGTTTAAATTCTTGGGAAATTCATTTTATATAGTATATCTTTCTACTAATTTTTAAGTTAATATTAATTAAAAATAAAAAATACAAGGTGATTAGGGCAGAAGAACATTTCTAGAGAGAAACTGTTCAATTTGTAGATGTTGATATGAGATATATGTGAGAAGCATGCTCTCAGAGATTGAAGTGATTGTGTGGCATAGCTCTGACATCTGAAACAGCACAATCTCCTGAAATAAAAAAGGCTTGTTTATGAAAATGCACCATTTGAAGTAATAAACTTGATTCAGTGTTAACTATTTTACTCAATGAACCACCTGTTTTTAAAAAAATGAATACAGATATTGATCACATCAAACGATTTCATTGAGAGGTTGACACGGACATTCACACAGTTTATCATGGATGGTCTCAGAAGCTTTCCTGTGTATGAGAAACAGAACTACAGGCCTTTTTGTATAAGTTCCTGTACATCTTGTCCATGCTGTTCTCAAAGACGGGTCGGTGGGATTTTCCCTTATTGTAAGAGGCTGCCCTGGACCAGTATTCACCATCATCCAAATGGAGAGAGCCATGTGGCCGCTGATATGAGCTATAAAAAAAGGATATAAACAATGGTGAAACCAAAAGGTTTAAAACAATGATAAAAGTAAATTAGAGGTAGTACTATTTAAACCTAACACTTTTTTTTTATGGGAGTGTGATACTTGGCAGAGGTGGGGAGGGGGACTGTGAACAATAAAATACGCTGAAGGTTCTGCATCAAATACTGACTCTCTAAAAGGGGAAACAGAACTATTTGTGTGAAACAGTTACAAAACAATGAAAATTTCATGTTAAGAGTTAAAAAGGAATTTAGAAAAACAGGTACGGCTTGGTAAAAGTAGCATACAGATGGTCTGGTATGACCAGTATGAGAATAGCCTTTTAAAGTCAGTCTGGAACTGTGGTACCTTGGGAAATTTATTTAACTACCTAGAGTCTCAGTTTTCTCAGCTATATTTTTACAATTGTTTAAAAATTAAAAATTATATATATATATACACATATATATTATTCTTTATAATATATATAAAGTTCATTGTATAGCACTTACCTCGAGCACAAAAGTTATTGAATAATATGAGGCATTGAATTAGATACTTTCTATAAATTTATCAATAAATATCATGACACAAGTGGATAGAGGTAGAAATTAAAACTAAGTGAGGTTAAATGATTTGCCTAAGAGCACTCAGCTAGAAAGTGACAGATGAGAAAGGAGACAGTCTGTGGCTCCAGAGCTTTTCTACTACACCACACTGCTATTGCCCTCAGGAAGATGGAAAAATGCAGACTGAAGATGAAACACTCATGAAAAATAAAAATAACACAGAAGAGTCTGACTTTGAAGTAACAAGGATCTACTATAGTTTTAAGCATCTGGAAAAAAACTAAAAAAACAGATATGTAACTAATGAAATAGATCAGGACTAGGTTAGGTGTAATATTCTTTGATGGGTTGGTAATATTTTTTGATAATATTTGTTGAAGATACTGAAGTTAAAATTCTACTGTCATGAACATTAATTTCTGGGTTTAACATAATTTGCTATAGATAAAACATCAATTTCTTCAGARAATCTGAATTTTTTAAATAAATAAAATCAACCTACTTCAATAAGTGAAATACTTATTATAGATTAGAACACTCAAGTCTGTTAGAGATTATGACATTTGTGTCATATGAAACTGTATTTCTTGACCATTAAATGTGACACTTTCTTCATATACTTAGATCTTACTTCATGCAACCAATTTCTTCCCCTGACTTATCAGTTCTATAATATTATTGCCATTGTCTGTGGCAAAATAGGAATTCTTGGAGCTCTTTATCTGTAAAGAGAATTTATTTSGCTTGATGTCAGTCTTCATTGTACATAAAAAAAATGATGACACAAAAAGGTATGGAACACATCCACATGATCACCCTTAAACCCTGACACTGTCAGTTGAGGATGTACAATAATGGAAATACTTACACATTAACTTTGTGTAAAGTTTGGCATGACCAAGTTAGAGGGATTATGCAACTTTAACCCATTAATTCTATTCCTAGATACCCAGAAAAATCTTTACACATGCATAACAATAAGTATGTATAAACTATTCATAATAACAATGTTGGGAACAACCTAAATATCTACATTAGAACAGATAAATAAAAATGTGATTTGTGTCCTATGCAATGGCACATACACACAGCACAGATATTGTCCTAAATAATAGCAGGGGATACGGCAGGAAACGTTAATACCTACAGCTGCATGAATAATTGTGTGTGAAAATGAAAAACAAGTAGGAAAAAAGCAAGCTGTGAATACTACACATAGTTATAATCACACTTATGTAAAGTTGGAAACAAGCACAATTAAATACATTATCACTTTTGGATGGGATACATGTGTGATATAACTCTAAAGAAGAATATGGCACAGCCACATCAATGTTTATAATAGCAGCACAATTCACAATAGCTAAACTGTGGAGCCAACCTAGATGCCCTTCAGTGGATGAATGGATTAAAAATGTGGCTTATATATACACAATGGAATTTTACTCAGCAATAAAAGAGAATAAAATCATGGCATTTGCAGGTAAATGGATGGTGTTGAAGAAGATAATGCTAAGTGAATTTAGCCAATCCTCCCCCCCAAAACAAATGCTGAATATTTTCTCTGATATAAGGAGGCAGACTCATAGTGGGATAGGGAGGGGGAGCATGGGAGGAATAGATGAATCCTAGATAGGGCCAAGGGGTGAGAGGGRAAGGGAGGGGGCATGGGGTTAGAAATGTTGGTGAAATGTGATGGACATCATTATCCAAAGTACATGTATGAAGACACAAATTGATGTCAACATAGTTTATATACAACCAGAGATATGAAAAGTTTTACTGTATATGTGTAATAAGAATTATAATGCATTCCACTGTAATTTATTTTTTAAAAAAATCAATAAAAAAGAATAAGAGCAAGATTAACAGAAAATTCATAGTAGCATTTATATCTGCGGAAAGAGATGAAACTTTTGAGGGTCATATGGCTTCAAAATTATGAGTTATTTTCCACTTCTTAAGCTAGATTGTTGAGTATCCATTTTATTGTTGTTAAGAATACATGAAACTTAATATTACTCAGCTATTGTTTATATTTCACAATAAAAAGTCTGAAAAACTTTACTTTCATATACCATGACAATAGGTCTCTTTACTTCTCCATACTTTGCTAGAATGGAATTCCTCCATACATTTTCTAGTATTTACTAGATCCTAGTGACTTTTCTTTACATTTGGTACCACTTTTTCACACTGGATAATTTTGAAAATGAGAGCATCTCTAGATTATTAAAAAGTATTTTAAAACATGATTATAATAATATATATTCATTCAGTTTCTAATAATATCAATAATCGTTACAATTTCCAAAAGACCTTAGCCATGTCTCAATGCTAATGCTTTGAGATAAGCAGCATATGTTTTTCATTAGCTGTGCACAAAAAACAATCTAGACAATTGAACATAATAATTTCTTTCATACAATTTCTCTCCAGGTCTAATTGCTGTTGTCACTTAAAAGACTTTAATAATTTGATTTATGGTATAAGAGAATCACACACACATTATGAGATATATCTGCATGTACCTCATACCTCTGCAAATATATTGACCAGCCTAATTTCTAGAAAGCCTCTGTCCCTCATCCTTAGGAAGTCTCATTTGTTTTTTTTTATTTATTTGTTTTCTGTTTTGTATTTGTCTTCTGTAAGTCGTTAATTACTATTTCACAAAAGGCAGATTCATTCCTCTCTTGCTGTCTGTTGTTCACAATTACCAACTAACAATGTACTTCTCCAAACTATGGTTGGTTTATTTGTTTGTTGTTGTTGTTGTTGTTGTTTTTAGTTTCCAGGCTAATTATAACCTAATAAACCTAATCAACTGAATTTTGAATTTTTCGTATATACCACTGCCCTGGTATTATCTGAAAGATAATATAAAGACTACCAACTTTTAAAATCATGGTATGGGTTCTTCCCAGTTTGTAAATTGAGCTCTTAACACACTTAATAAAGTACTATATTGCGATTAGACACAGATTTACTACTGCTTTGGTTGCATTAGACAATAAATGTCTCAAAGTTGCTTTAAAATATTATCTTAGTGGCTTGTAATAAAGAAATAAAATTCAGAAAGTCCTTTAGGACCAACTGTGATTCTGAAAAAGTTCTGTAAAGAAGAGCTAAAGTGGACAGAATAGATAATTCTAATGTTCTTTGGTCTGGAAAAATTTGGCAGGAAGTTTATTTTTACTTAAAATTTCAAAATTTTGCAATTTTGTAAACAGTAATGATAGCTTTCTGGATATTTATTTATGACATCTTGGTAGAGTCATAAAATTGATCATATAGTGACCAATGTAGAAGTAATGAAATTTATAATCAATCCTGTGTTGTTTAAAAGCATAAAGCCCAAATTTAAATTATTTAGCTTGAATTTCTGTTATAATTTTATAACCAAAATATTATATTGAGCATATTCCTACTATCAGTATCCTGGAAAATATGCACATCTAAATAGAAAGCAGTGGTTATCAATAGCAAATTTTATGAACAACACTGCTAAACAGTCATATTCTATTCTATTATTATTATTTTTCTCTCCTTTGTGGCCAACTCCTATCTATATAAAACATTACCCTCAACCTTTGTCTTTAAAATTAGGGCTAATGCTCAAAGAATGCATAACAATGTAGAGAACTTTAAATATTCTGAAAACTGAGGAAATATGAAGTATATGTAGAATGTACTAAAAAGAAAAGAAAAAAGAGCATCCTAGGGAACTGGGACTTGGCAGGCTATCATAGCAAATGACTAAAAATTTTCTAGAAAATAAAACTCAAAATTGAGAAGCAAGCCCATAAAGTTAGTAGATTCCTTCTGCAAGCCACCTAGAAACCACAGAATTAAAAGTAAGGAGTCATTTATTGATTCTTTGAGAAAACTGTCTTTCTAATGAGTTTCATGCACAAAGGTGATGGCAGACATGGGGCAATTATCATGAATATCAAATGCTTGGAAGATGAAATAACAAATGCTCTATTTTCCCATTCTTCTTTTCCTGCAGAAAACATTGAGTATCTGCTATACTCTGTGGATGATGACCATAATGTACATCTAGAGTATAAGATAATCTTAAATCATGAGCAAAATATTTTTTACTAAGAAAAAATCAAAAGAAATAATTTATTTTAATTAATATGATCAATGTGATAAATTTTCATTATACTTTTAATTCTTTAAACATGGTTTCCTCTAGCTCTTTGAACTCAGTTGCCTTGATCTGCTGAATTCAACATTGATGACTCCTCAGATACAGATTCTAACAATTCATTTTTCATATAATATGGGTCATACTTTCATGTTTCTTAAAATGTCTCAAAATTTTTGTTGAAAATGACATTTTTGGTGGGGGGTGGTATTGGGGATGGAACTCAGGGGCACACAACCACTGAGCCACATCCCCATTTTGTATATTATTTAGAGACAGGGTCTCACTGAGTTGCTTAGCACTTCACTGCTGCTAAGGCTGACTTTGAACTCGGAACCCTCCTGTCTCAGCCTTCTGAGCTACTGGGATTAGAGGCATGTGCCACCATATTTGTAGCAACTCTGGATTCTGACTTCTCTGCCAAGATTATTACATTTTATTTTACTTGTTTAAAGATTTGCTTGGACTGATACTCTGTATTCWTATTTCTCTCTCCCTGTATAGTTGCTGGTGTCCTTTGCTACTTTAAAAAAATTTGTTCCTATTTGGGTTTTTTTTTTTTTGGGGGGGGGCGGATACCAGGGATTGAACTCTGGGTCACTCAACCACTGAGCCACATCCCCAGCCCTATTTTGTATTTTTATTTAGAGACAAGATCTCACTGAGTTGCTTAGCACCTCACCACTGCTGAGGCTGACTTTGAACTCATGATCCTCCTGCCTCAGCTTCCCAAACTGCTTAGATTATAGGCGGCGAGCCTGGCTTCTTAGGGACTACACCTGGGTTAGCATGGCTTAGCGACCAAGAAACAATTGGTCAGAGCCTGTAAACCTATAAGGCTTCCATTTTTTGTCAGTGGATCTGTAAGTGGCTTGGAGAATATATTCAGTTTATCCAGTTTATAAGCTTGTTCTGGATTTTATTTACTGCCTTTCTCAGGCTTCACACTCAGTTGTGAATTATTGGCTTGCCAGGCCCCTTCCTAGTCCCTTACAATCATAACAGGTTTATGCATACATATAACCTTCCAAACAACCATAAATAAGCAGAACTTTATCAAGGCCCACTTTGGTTATCTGGTTCCTGAATCTTTATTGTTTGTCCTAAGCATTAAGACTCTAGGCCCTTCCCTGACTGCCAGTAGGATCATTATTGCTTCTGCTCATGCCCCAACACCTGGCTCCATGTAAACTTCCTGGTCTTTTAACTTGACTGCTTTAGTAGTGCTTTTGTGCCACAGAGCTAGGGAGCCAGTGGCTGTGGGGGGAGGATGAAATCTCTAAGTTAAAATGTCACACTCCCATGGTTTAGTAGATTTTCTAGACAAATGTTTCTCAATCTGTTACATGTCTTTGGTCAATTCCCAAGTTTTAAAATTGTTCTTGATAATTCTGGTCAGTTTTATTGTTTCTTTTGTAGGAAGGAATATGCTGAGCTCTTCACTTCATTCCAGAGGTCCATATAGACTTCCTCTTAACAACTGTCAATGGGCACAGGAAGAAGGCTAATTAAAAAGCTGAGACCCAAATTACCTCTTTACTTTTGCTGTTGGAAGCCTCAACAATGGGGTAATTAATGTAGGTTCTCTCATCTTTAATATGAGAAAAGTCAAATGAGAGTAGATTCTTGGCTTAGTATATAATATGACTTGGGAATAAAACTCAAATAATATTTTGGTCAATAATATGAAAGAAAAGCACTCAGGAAAGATTTTAAAGGACTGACTACTCCCTCCTACTGCGTATGAGAGGGGTGGCAAGGATTATAAAGTGATCTCAAAAATGTACAAGCAGAACTTTTCTGATATTCTCCTTTACTCTCTCATATGAGGCGCCTGGGAAATTTAAAAATCTTAGTCATTAACATTGATTGATAAACTAGAAAAAGAATCAATATTGAATTTTATGGCAAATTTTAAATCAAGAGCATTGCTTTTTAAAATATGATATTAGAATCATCTATGGTATTTCTTAAAATGTATACTTTTAGATCTCATCTATATGCAGGAACTAGAATCTACAGGGTAGGAGGTAGAAATCAATATTTTTAAGAAACAACTCAAGCAATTAGTATGTACCCAAAAGTTTGAAAATCAGACCCTTTCCGGTATCATTCCTAGTCTCACCCCTCACCCAAATTATAATTAATTATATGGATTAAGCACCCCACATTGGGAAGGTAATTCATATAACAGTCTAGGGAATAAAGCTAAAAGAACAAAGAATTTAAGATAACCTCTTTTAAGATATGTGCTCTCTTAACCTTAGTTTTCCTCTTTGGATAACTCCTCCTTCAATTCATTCATAACATAAAACATACATTGATGGGAGGCCCAGGTTACCTCTTGCTTGGGAGGCAGTAAAACTATTGGCAATGTTGTCACACTCATGCTGGTGTAAGGAACAAAAGGAGATGTTCATAGATGTTCTAGCCTCATTTACTGATGGTAAAGATCAGCAATTTGGTTATTCAAAATCCCAAATCCACTATTTGCAGCTCTTAAATTTGTTCTTGAGGAATCTTATGATGGTAAAAGCTCTATAGTAATCAGTGGTATGATGCTTTGACAGCATACACCCACAATTTACAGTTTTTGTTTGGTTTTGCTTTAATTTTGGTACTGGGGATTGAATGCAGGGATGCTTAACCACTGAGCTACATCTCCAGACCTTTCTACTTTTTATTTTGAGACAGGGTATCACTAAGTTGCTGAGGCTGGCCTCAAACTTGTGATCCTCCTGCCTCAGTCTCCTGAGTTACTGAGATTACAAGCATATACTACCACACCTAATTTACAGATTTTAATATAGTATTTTATGCCAATTGACAACTTTTTTGAAAGTTCTCATGGGATATGTTAGTACAACTTTGCAAAAATATTATTGCTAACATTCTTGAAATTTTAATCTAAGAAAACAGATTTTTTTCTTATTTATTTAAAAAGATTTAGTAATGTTCTAAAATTACAAAGCCTTTTTTAGGTCAGAATAAATTATGAAATATGTGAACTTGCAGTGCAGTCAAATAAAATATTAAGTGTAGGATAAAAATTATCACCATAAATTAGCTATATATATTTTACTTAAAAAACTTCAAATAAAATAAAAAACTTCAGCCAGGTGCCATGGTGAACACCTGTAATCCCAGAGGCTCAGGAGGCTGAGGCAGGAGGATTCATGAGTTCAAAGCCAGTTTCAACAATGGCAAGGCACTAAGAACTCAGTGACACCCTGTCTCTAAATAAAATACAAAATAGGGCTGGAGATGTGGCTCAGAGGTTGAGTGACCCTGAGTTCAATCTCCAGTACCAACAAAACAAAACAAACAACAACAAAAAACCCTTCAGTAATTTATACATATTAAAATATTGTGATAGGAATTTACATAGTAAAAAATAAAAAATTACACTTTTGAATCAAAAATTTTTAAAAATTCAGCAGATGAGAAAAACAGGCTATTTTTACRTCCGTTATAAGAAAGATCTTTATATACAGCATTAACTAAGCCCATACCTATATTCAGGGTCACTGTCATAGGCAGAGTCTCTGTATAACAGCCCTCTTTTCAGCTCCAGCTCTTCATCTTTCTCTGGGTCTCTCTCATCCTGAAAAATTAAAAAAATTTTCATTAATTCATTTCTCATTGCTTTTAATATAATGCTTATGTTTCTTTGGGAAAGGCTCTTCTTCTCCATTATGGAAAATRAAAGTATGATTTTATCTGTTGTTATGTGAACTCCAAAATGATTGTTCTTGCTTTCTGAGGCATAAGTGTTTGAGAAAACATAGATGTAAGCATGTACCTGTGACTTTCAAAGAAAATGACTTATAATTGTTAATCATAAGCCAAAATGCAATTAGAAATCAGTAATGGCAAAAATGAAAGGCAAGTTAATTGGAATGAATATATATGTCTTCCCCCTCCTTGTACAGGCAGCCTATTCTAAATTAAGGGCATAAGAAACAGAATCCTGAGAGACTGCTTTGAAAGTATCTATGATAATTTTATATAATCTAATATCAAGTTATCTGTATCAACTACTTAGCTAATACCCTTGGCTCCTTAGTCAATCAAGAACAGAAAGAGAACTGATAACAAGAGCAACTAGTAAGCACAAATAAATATTTGTATTAAGAAGGAGTCCATTCACATATGTAAGAAAAGAGCTGAACACAGATTATGATGAAAAATTTTGTTGATGTCAACAAACTACTGTAAAAATGTGAGCAATAAGTAACAGGGGAAGCTTAAAAATCCCAGAAAACATACATAAAAATTTAGATTGTTATAGCTTCTAATTTTTATCATTATGAAGTAATTTCATTTATTTCTATTGCTGTTTTCCACACCCATTAACATTTTTTGGTCTATTCTTAATATAGTTAAAATATCTTTTAGTTAGTGCTCAAATGGTATATATTTATCCTTTTATTTTCAAATGTTCCTTTAGATCTTGGAGCATAGGAGGAATAGACAAATTCTAGATAGAGCAGAGAAATTGGAGGGGAAGGGAGGGGGTAAAGGGTAATGAATGATGGTGGAATGCAATGATTTTCAAAGACAATGTATGAAGTACATTTTCAAAGTACATGTATGAAGATATGAATTGATGTGAATATACTATGTATACAACCAGAGATATGAAAAATTGTACTCTATACACGTAATAAGAATTACAAGGCATTCTACTGTCATATAGAAATAAAAAAGTTTACATTAAAAAATATTGAAAAAAAAGCAGATGTTGTGTATTTTTATCCAGTCTGGTAAACCAAAGGACTTGAGCATTTTTCTTTAACAGCTAGAAAACATAAAGGACTCTAATAAGCATAAGAGACATGACAAAGGAAACAAAAAAAAAGGAATGGCTATCTTAAGAATAAGAACACAATCACTAAAAACTCATGGAGAGCAGTGGTGTCCCTTTAGATCTAGATCAAGGTTATCATGTAGTGGAATTCTGCCTCAGGAAACAAAAGACATTACTCTCATGGCTTTTCTATTCAACTTTTAACATCTTATAAAAGATGTGTGTATGTGCCTGTGTAGATGTAATACTCACATATACATGCACACATATAATTTCTAAAATGTCTGTATCATGTAAAATACACACATGTAGGTTTGTTGTGAGTACTTGACAGACTTTTTTTTCCGTTGTGGCAATCACATATCACATCTTACAAGCTATTAACTGTGTATTGGTCTCAATTTCTCCCTTTACATATATTAGAATATTTGTTGAAATCTGGAAATTTTAACTAGTATGATGTGGCATATCTGGGAAATCAAATATTTCCTTGTTGATCTGCTGATTGTTTTATCCATTGTTGGACACAGGTACTGAAGTCTCCAAATATTATGTGGCATTTATTTCTTCTTTCCGTTTTTCTTCTTCTATTTTGGGGCCCCTTTTTTTTTGTAATGGTCATATGTTCCTGATGCTTTGACCTTTTTATCATTTTACATTTTTTCTTCATTGTAACWAAAATTACTTTWAAAATCTATTTTGTCTGATAGTAGTATAGTCATTTTAGCTCTTTTATGCTGTTTGAATAGTGTTATCTTTTTACATTCAGCTTGTTTGTGACAGTGTATCTAAAGTGTGTTTTATAGTCAGAATAGTTTGATCAAGTTTTTTTTTTTTTTTTTTTTTTTTACTTAGCATCCCAATCTCTGCCTCTGGAGTGGTTAGTTCATTTAAATTTCATATAGTTACTTATGAGGCAAGAGTTACATATGCCATTTGTTGCTTTCTGTCTTTTTTTGTTTCTCAATTTTTTAATTACTACCTTCTTTTGTGTTATATTTTCCAGGGTACATGTTTAATTCCCTAATAATTATATTTTCATGCATTTTCTTAGTAGGTTCCATGGTAGTTTACATTAATATTAATTAAATTTCCAAAGGATTTGAAGACTTTTCTCACAACCCCTCCTTGTTTTTGTATTATTTTTTTACAAATCAAATMTTTATCTAAAACTTGCTCACTGACAGATTTTTAATTACTGTTTCATGAGGTCATATTTTAAATCAAGAAGGCAAAATAAGCATCATCTACTGGCAAAAAAATTTACAATTATGCTTTCTTTTATATTTACCTATTTAGTTATCTAATCTATTGCTCTTTATTTCTTCATGTAAATTTGAATTACTCTCTAGAGCCCACAGCCTCTAGGACTCCTTTTGGTATTTCCTTATAATGCAGATCTGTAAGTGATGGCATTTCTGCTTTGTCTGCCTGAGAATGTCAGTATCGCTTACATTTCTGAAAGATAGTTTGGCTGGATATTTATGGTTGATGGTTATTTTCTTTGAGCACTTTGTGTCACCCCAGTGCCTTCTGGACTCCATAGTTCCTGAAGAGTTTTAAAACTTATTGAGGAAGAGGGATAGGTGATGAGTCCTTTCTCTCTTGCTGTTTTTAATATTTAAGAAAGGGGTGGGGAGAGTCCCATGAAAATAGAAGAGAGATAAATGGAGTAGAGGAAGGGGGTTAAGGGAGCAGGAAGGAGGGAGAGACCATAAATTATTTGTCGTTTAAAGTGTACAGTTCAGTTATGTCTGGTCTTTCCTGAGCACACACAAACCCTGGGATATATGCATTGTCCTACAAATTTGTATGGTCGTCTAAAATCCCATGTATATGAGGGAACTTTTCAAAGCCCCTATGGACATATCCAGCTTTTCCTTTTAATCTTTTGCTTAAACTACTGTTCATCCCAACCKTTATCTCTACCTCTTCAAACTACTGTGAAGTTAAGCAATTTCTTGTAATTATTTTCAACAAATGTCTCCAATGCAAATATTTTGCACTGGGAAAGCTCTCTTTGACTCAAAGACAAAACTGTAAGTGGGATCTTTTAGGTAATTTCCAGAGAAGTCAAATAATGATTGTCTGGGAATGGTCTTTGAAGAAACCCCAACTTTATTCTTCCACCACAATGGGATGAAGTAACATAAGACAACAATATGGACAAGGCTTCAATACATTATGCTATATATAAAAGGCTAGTCATAAAGACACATAACATATGATGCCATTTAATAAGCCGAATCCTAATGGTCATCTAGGAACTCAAGCTGGTAGTTGCCTATGAATGGAGGAGAAATGGGGGAGAGGACAGTTTTTTATTTGACTCCTAATGGGTATAGGATATCTTTTGCAGTGATGAAAAATGCTTTGAAACTAGATGTAGTGATGATTGTACAATTTTTTATTATGTGAATTACTTTTTAAAATAAGATGTCTTTTTAATGGAACATTAGGTGACCTTAATAGATTTTATTATCTCAAGCAGATAGATAYACATTTCCCCTGCTCTGTATGGTAATCTAGATTTTTTTTTTTTTTGAAAGCAGGGGCACTTGACCACTGACTGAGCCACATCTCAGCCCTTTTTTAATTTTTGATTTTGAGACAGGATCTTCCTAAATTGTTGTGGGCCTCACTAAGTTAATGTGGCTGGTTTTAAACTTGTGATACTTCTGCCTCAGGCTCCTGAGCCACTGGAATTATAGGCATGTGCCATTGCACCCCACTAATCTAGAACATTTTACAGATGAAAGAAAGAGGGTAAAGAATACATTAACATTTTTGCAGTGCTTATTATAAATGTTTAAAAATGTGATATACTAGGACTTAAACAGAGTGCTATACCCTATAATAAAGRCATATATACTTTCTACAAGTACACACAGAATAACTAAAAGTGACTGTTATGCTTGTTCTTAAGAAATTTTAATAAATTTCAAATAATTCTAAGTCTGTTCTCTAGCTGAGAAGAAATTAAGTAAGCTGTCAATAATAAAGATAAGAGAGTATTCAATTAGGTGGAAATTAAGAAATACATTTCTAAATTACCATGGAGTCAATGAAGAAATAACAATGGAAATTAGAAAATAAAGTTTCTTATTATATTCAACATAAAAATTATGGGATGCACCTGAAGCAATGTTTAGAGGGAAAATTATATTCTAAAATGTAAAGATTAGAATATCAAAGCTCAAAATTAATAACCTCAGCCTCTATTTTAAAAGCCTAGGAGAAAAAACTAGGACATAAAACTATTAACATAAGTTAATTTAACAGAAAAAGATCTGTCCTAGATGAATAAAAAATTTCACACTATTCTCTGAAAAAAAAAAGAATAAAATGAACAATCTCTAAGTCAAAATGTGGGGGTGGGGATTAAAGTTGAATTACCATTGTCAGGTTTGAAAAGGGAGATGCTTATATACTTACAGATTATACAGATGCTTTTAAAAAGAATATAAAACTCTTTCAAAAATCTTCATATCATTCTATTTAATAATATTAATGAAAAATTCTTTGCAAAACTAAACTCATAGAAGTGAGAAAAGAAAAACTTAAAAAATCTGAATAACTGATGTCGAGAAATATTGAAAACAAATCTACTGGTAGATTTGTTAAAATATTTCTGAAATAATACAGACTCTATTGAGACTGGCTGAGAATCTTTCCCAGCTCATTTTTATGAGGCCAGCCAAAACCTAAGGAAAGCATTACAAAAAGAACCCTGCAGACCAATCAATATAAAACTTGGTTAAAAAAAATCTAGCTAAAATATTAGTGAATTTAAA